CACACACAAAAGCGGCAAAAGCCTATTGCCTGGACAATTTCTCTTTTGAAGTTGCTCCCTGTAAGAGGGGCTCTATCCTGCTGACACCATTTCATATCCGTGTTGATAACTCTCCCTGTAAGCCAGAGCTCTACACATGAATTTGGCAGTGTCAATTTCGTTAGTAGTGAGCCATCTATCACTAAATTTGCAAGATGACATAGTTTACAAAAATACACGAATAGTCGATAATCGGAAAGCATTTCTTGAAGCCTGTGTTGTTTACACATCATCATCTTTCATCAATACCTTCTCTGTGTGCCTATTACAGTTTGAGTACAACACGCTGTCCGAAGGAATGACAAAATACAAATGTGACAGTGAACCAAAATGCCAACACGAACGAGATGGCACTTATTATGTACAGTATTGGGTCCGAATCATCTGGCGCATTTCCTGCCATGTCCTTCCATGCCACGGGGCCTGAACTAGAATTGCATGATCTAAGGTTTTTGTTCCCTCTGTAGCTGTCAATATCAAATGTGCTCAACTGACCGGTGGCTGGTAGACATCCCGATAAGTTGTTGTACGCCACAGAGAACATACCTAGTGATGATAGCCGAGTTAACTGCCATGGTATCAATCCATTCAACCTGTTTCCTGATAGATCTAAACTTTCGATCTCACTCATATTTGCAAAGCTTGCAGGAATTGGTCCAGTCAATAAATTATTTGACAGATTGAGAGACTTGATATGGCTTAAATTCCCTATCTCCCATGGAATTTCACCTGACAACATGTTTGCTGATAAGTCAATGCCAGACATCGACATGAAGAAGTTACGTCCATATGTGTATGGAATCCCTTTAGTTGTGAAGGTGAAACCTCCGAGGACATAATGGCTGTTATATGAGAAGCCCAAATCTTCAAACGCACCAAACCAACCTCCAAATACATTACCACTGGTTGTCGGCCAAAAGTATTCATAAGCTTCGGGGTCTTCAAATGGAATGCCACCAAGACACGGTGGTACAGAACCTGAGAGTCTGTTGTGAGAGATGTCAATTATACTCAAGTGTTGGAGACAACATATATTTGAAGAGATCTGTCCCTCAAACTCATTTCTGCCTAACAAAAGTAGATTGATTTCAGAAAGATATCGTGCCCACTCAAGGTTGCCTGTGAACTGATTACGGCTGAGATCCAAAGCTGTAATGAAGGAGCTGTTGAAAAATGCATCCGGGGTGCCTGACAGTGAATTCCCAGATATACTCAGAAATCGGAGTGGTAATGTACTGCTGCAGTGTGGTATAAGCCCGAAAAAATAGTTTTCAGATAGATCTAGCAGTCGGAGATTTGTTAATTTACAAATTTCGGGATGAATGTAACCACTTAAACTATTTCTAGCAAGGCTCAAAGCTTCCAATAAAGGAAGATTCCATAATGAAATGTCTAGTTCTCCGGACATCTTGTTACCATGTAGATCCATGACTCGGACATTACCAGACAGATTTCTAGGAAGAGTCCCTTCAAATTTGTTGTTGTCTAGGTATATTTCCAACACAAATGACAAGTTACTAGCCCCGTCAAGTATCATGCCCCCGAGATTATTGTTTGAGAGCTTCAATATATTCAATGCAGAACAGTTCGTGAACAAGCAAGATGGTACCTGTCCTACAAAGTTGTTATTTGATAGGTCCATGATTTCAATCCTGCCGATGGTGCACAACGAAGATGGCACAACTCCAGACATATTATTATGAGAAACATCGAGAATCCACAGATTGGGAAACATTGAACTGATATTGGCCGGCAGCTGTCCTTCAATACGGTTCAGAGATATGTTCACTACTAGAAGATCAGTTTGGTTTTGCCAAATAGGGTATAGTGATCCAACTAATGAGTTATTTGAAAGATCTAGGTAAACTAGTGTCGCTTCATTTGTGAACAGAAAATTGGGCATGCTTCCTGGCAAATCATTGTTGGACAAATCAAGAAATTCGAGATGATGCTGTGTGCGTAGGAAATGTGGCTCTGTAAGCATGCTTTTATCAAGGTTACACCAAGAGAGAATTAGTGCTTTCAATTCAAATTTGGGTACCCAACCATGCAGTTTCGTTTGAATAACCAAATCAGTATTCCTGGAGAGATCTATGTGTTTGAGGTTGGTACAGTTTCTCAGCCAGAAGAAATCGAATTTACCGCTTAGCATATTTTCAGATAACCTGATAGTTTGAAGCGACGAAGGACACTTCCAAGAAGAGTTTATAGGTATATATCCTTGAAAGAGGTTTTCTGAAAGATCCAGGTACTCAAGGCATGAAAGTGCAAATATGGATGCTGGGAGGCTACCACTCAATTGATTGGATCCAAAATGCAATCCTCGCAGATTCAGGAGATTTTTTAAACCTGACATGTATAGATGCATTATGGTAAGTACAAAATAATTGCACGAACTGAAAAGGAATGTTAAAACTATTCGTTTCAGTACCTGTATTCTCTAGCGCCCCACTCATGTTATTTTTGCTGAGATTTATGACCTCCAGTGAAACTAATTTACTGACTGATCCTGGGATACTCCCTATGAAAGTGTTATCACTGAGGTTGAGATACTTGAGCTTACTCAATCCTTGGAGACCTGAGGAATTGTTCAATCCAAAATAAGATCTTTGTAATCAAACTTACTGGAAGAATAAAATGGAGTTGCAAGCATGCAACACAAGCCACATACCGTCGAAATTTTGTAAACAAGCGAAATTTCGAGAGAAATCCAACAGCTGAAGCTCTCGAAACGAAGAAAAGATTGCCAAGTTCAAGTTCCAGCATGCAGCTTCCATAGGTCCAATTGATGTAGAGCCATCACTATTATGGATAGGGATTGACTGGTAGATATAGTGAAGGTCGAGACGCAATATTCGCCGCGTGCTATTGTCGCACGTGATCCTTTCCCACGAGCAACAGTCATCACCGTGTCCCCACGAACTGGGAACCTCGGACTTTGCGCTCATGAACCAAGAGCTAATCTCCATGAGGGCCGCCCTTTCCTCCATGAAACAGCCTGAAGAACTCAGAAACATGGAGTGCACAACACACACGACCAAGAACACGCATCCCCATGACAAGTAGCAGCCCATTTCAAAGAAAAAAGCCTCTACCTTATCCTGTGTGCTCTATAGTGTTGGCTTGGGAGAATGATGCTTGCTTATTGTTCTGCTCCTTGTGGTGTTTATAGTTGGCTGTCCGAATGGTCTACACTTGCTTAGCAAAGAAAATTTGGGTATGGTCAAGGTAGGTATGCTTGAGCAGCGGAAATTTAAATAATGGCATTGTTGACGTATTGAGGGACATTTTGTTCAAATCCAATTTGGCGGATAGCCATAGACATGACACTAATGACAAATGATGGGTCGTTGGTGCATCATCAATGTGTGGGCTTGACTGCAAAAGATATTGTTCTTGACCACAAATCTGTCAGCTACCAGCTCTGCGTTGCAGGCCATGAAAAGGAAAGTTGCCAATGTGAACGCTTCTTCTTCGGTGCAAGCATCTTCTAGGTTTTAGCCGGACATATATACTAGCTGAACGCCTGAGTGTCGCTAGCTAATTGTGCATTTAACGTAATTTACGCAGCCCCTAATAACAAATGAAACCATTCTGGAGTGCCAATTCAGTCGGAGCGGCAGGCGTCCTCGAATTACAATTCAGGTACAGTTGATTTGAGAGCAAGATGCCTGATTATTGTTCTGCCCCTTGTGGTTTTTGAGCAGTGCTATAGGGATGACGATGACTCGTGCATGACGAATAAATCCGGCCGAGGAATCTCTAGCACAGCCCAGCAGCTGCCGCTAGCGCTGGATCCCTTGTCGTTCAGTAATCGCCCACATACGATTTCGGTGGTTTTTATAATTGGCTGTCCAAACACTATACGCTTGCACTTGCTTAGTAAACAAAGTTTTAGTCCATGGTCAAGTTAGGTATGGGAGCACCATCAAGCACTAACCTTGGGCACATATAATATTATGCTCCAAACACTTTGTGGACTTGAGTACGATCACGAAAGCTCTTGCACTTGATATGGAGGAAAAGATGGGGGAAGTTTTTTTTTCTTCTTCTTTTTTTGAAGTGAAGTTTCTTCTTCAGTGCATACTAGCTGAATGTGTGGGTGTTGCTAACTCGTTATGTGTTTAAATGCAATTTGCATGGCACACTGATAACAATTGAACCCATTCTAATGTGCAGGAGCATGCCTTACCTATGCACAAGCATCTTACCAATTCAGTCACTGCTGCAGTCATAGCAGAAAACGTCCTCACACACACCCCTGGAAATCTGGAAGGATGACGGCCATCTTGTTCTCCGACGCCCGACCCAATTCCCTGTTAGAAAATCACTACTTTAGTGATCTTATATTTCTTTACGGAGGAAATAACTTAGTTGCATAAGGTGATGAGACAGAGTGGGACAGTGGGTGCATGCCAACCACGCAAATCCTCTTACACAGTCGGCTGTGGACTTTCTTCGGAAGCTTCAGCCCGCCGTTGTAAACCGAGCTCCGGCGCTAGCGAGCTGCGCCATTCATGAATCGTGAAGGAGAGAACAATCTTCTAACAAGGGTCGAGATGCAACGCCCTCGGTCGCTCGTGCCCACGGCGACCCCGAGGGTTCCTCCTCCCGCAACCAAACCACCGCCGCCAGTTCTTCTCCTCCCCCACCCCCACGCAGCCGCCGGAGGAAGCCGCCGGGCGAAGCCCGCGCGGCTGACGGCGGCGGCGGGGATCTCTCTCGCGGCAACCCCTGGTCTGCGGACGGCAGCACTTGGTGGAGGCCGGTGGTGACCCGATCCGTGCGTGGGCGTACGGAGTGGGTCTCGGCGGACGGTGGCGGGCTATGGGGATCGGACCTCATCGGGCGGCGGCGTCCTGCGGCCTAGCGTGCGCGGTGGCGGGCCTGGCCGGGATCGGTGGATTTCTTCCAGATCGGCCAGCGTTTGGCTTCGTCCAGATTGACGCCTGGTCAAAGGGCGACGTCGTCTACGCGGCTAACGGCGCTGCCGGTGCCTTCAGCCACGGGGATGCTGAGGTGCCACCGGGCGGTAACCGTGAGCCCCATTTAAAAAAAAATGAAGGAAGACCTCCGGCCTCTGCATCTGGACGATGTATGCGGTCACTTTATTAATTATTCACACAAGACCTTACAAAATCATACAACAGTAATACTAAAGCCACCGTCTAGGCAACATCTGTCGCTACTCCTATCCAGTTGATGAAGGGATGCTGATAGTCTGGACCTAATACCAAACAGACCTCGCAGCCAAACCTAAACATCCAAGACTGAGGTCCCAACCAGGACGTCTGCCGGGTATGGGGCACCTACCAGTCCGATTAAAAGGATCGAGATGGACCTAGAGGGGGGGGGGGTTGAATAGCTATAATTACAAATTTTAATTATTACTTAGCAATTTTAGGCAATAATGCGGAATATGAGAGTGAGCCTAACAATTGCAAGTGTAGTACTAAGTGCTAAGAAAGTAACACGAGTATGTAAGGAAGCAAGCACAATATGATATAAGTAAGTGATAAGAGACAAGTAACCACAAGTAGGGAGTTAGGATTAGGAATACCAGCAACTCCGGGAGACGAGGATGTATGCTGATGTTCACTTCCTTGGAGGGAAGCTACGTCATCGTTAGAGAGGTGGATGTTACCACGAAGGCACACCAACGCCACGAAGGCTCACCCTATTCTCCCTTTGAGACAACACCACGAAGGCGTTTCTCAACCACTAGTGGTAGACCTTGGGGTGGTCTCCAAACCCTCACAAACTTTTCCGGGGGTAATCACAAAGGTCGATTCCTCTTCGAAAGACTCCTACCGCCTAGGAGTCTCCAACCTCCAAGAGTAACAAGAACGATGGAGAACAGCTCAAGACTTGCTCAAATCACGAATTCCTTTGGTTCAAAGAAGGAGAAGGAGTGGATCTATCACTTGATTGGACAACTTCTCTCAAATGCTCTCAAATCCCTTGGGGATCTAAGATTTGGTGTGGAGGAGTGAGAGAGAGAGTGAAATGTGTTCTAGGGTTTGTTCAAAGTGATTGGTCAGCCCTCTCCCGTGGGGAAGAAGGGCTATATATAGTGTGAGGACAATTATGGTCGTTGCAGTGCAAGTGAATGGGCAGCCCGGACATCCGGGCTAGGGGTCGGACATCCGGCCTGGCAAGGTACGAGGAACAAAAACAGAACCAGAACAGAAAACAGAGGGACCGGACATGCGGGGGCCAAGCCCGGACATCCAATAATACTTCAAGACCCTCCATAGCTATTCCTTCATTCGATTTCTATCCTCTAGTTCATACGTTTGGTATTAGTGTTTTCCTTTACATGATTAATTGATCCAGCATATAATAACATTAAAGTTGGTTGTCCTTTGCCCATCCAACTGTACCAAGTTTTGTTCACAATTGTCTAACTCTCACTGTGAACACTATCACCTAATGCTGACATGCACATGCTTCAATTGAGCTTATTTTCTGCTGACATGCTAATGAATGGTAGCAGACATCATACAACATTCAGTTCATGAATGTCATAGGCTATTTGATTAATTCAATGATATACCAACTAACCTATGATCATCTCATCACAATTTTCATTTTTCCAATATGCATGAATTCTGAACACATACAACAACGAGAAAGAACTGGTGCTGAAACTTACAAATTTCAAGGTCTCATGGTACTTAACAACTATATAGTGGACAACTATTTTCTTCAGAAAAAAGCAGTTAAGAAAGAAAAAGGTACGTGAACCTTACTGCCTGAAACTAAAATAAAGCATACCCTTTTCCAAATAGATAGTGCATATTATAAAAAATAACCATTCCTAAGATATTGGAGCTAGTCCTATGAACAACATAATCTAAATTTGGTTGCTAGTGCGATTTACAAGCTCGAGTAAGTAAAAATAAGACCAACAAGTAAGCTGTTGGCCATAAGCATCATAAAAAAAAAGTGTACCCGATCATTTGGAGCTCCCGCATGTCCATAATGAAGAATAGAACTGCAAGATAAGCAGTAGAGTTATATAGCACACATGATAGTCCAACTGGAACAAAGTCATATACAATAGGCATGGGCCTATTATTTTTAACTAACTAAGAAAGCATTCCTACATAACTTTCCATAGATAATCACCAATTAACAGAAGTCAACAACTAGGCAGTGTTGTGCATATAAATAAGTGAACTTGAAAAGAGAGACCTACCAAATTCATGTAAAGTGAGTATTTATTCCGACACTAAGAAACTCTGTACTAAGATGTTTATCTCATACTACCAGAAGTTCATGGCGTTGGAGAGTTTGGGAAAAAAATCTCTAAGCTTCATCTAGAAACAATGCGTAAAACTACTTATACTGTTGGCACTGGGATGGTGATTTGGTATTACAATATCCGTATGTTAGCTCAAGTGAGAACGTGTACATATATGTTACACAAAAATGATTAGTAAAACAATTAGTGAAAATTTCTACATATTTGTAACTACTCATTATTTGCTTCACATTAGACATAATATGTAAACTCGCCTGTTCTCTCCAGTAGCACATATACATGTGTAGGAGCAATGTCGGCAGCATCCCCTATAATATGCATGATCAAGAAAGGTGCTTTCTAACTGAGATTCCTTCATGCCTGGTTTTATCTTCCTCATAACCTTGTAAAGTGCAAGTTAACAATCAGACACATTTAATTTAACTCTAAAAAAGAGTAAGCATGTGAGTTAGAAGTAGTAACACCTAAATGATAGATAGATATAGTGTCTATTTCTGCTAATAGGATGTCTAAATAATACCAGCAGTGAAGGTGGACACAAATTATTAGCATCGACGACTCTTTATACCTTAATGTGTGCTTCTGAGCTGACATCATTAGCATATTGAATGAGCGCCAGCTCCATGTCAGATTTTATAAGACGGCAATCAGTTAAGATAGGATGAAGCGTGCTTAAATCAGTGTCAAACTTCTCTATCCCCTGACATTGACAAAGAAAATGCTTGATAAGTTAGTAACCTAAAAATACATAACAACAAAGATAAAACGCATGGAACGTATTTACTTCTTAATACCTAGGTACGCATA